ACCACCATTTGCCTCACGCAGTGCAACACATCTCCTTCGCATAGAGTTGATCAGGTTGTTGATTGTGGCCTGTGGAATGTTGGTCCACTCCTCTTCAATGGCTGTGCGAAGTTGCTGGATATTGGCAGCAACTGGAACATGAACTCTGCATTCAAAATGCCATCAATAAAATGCACCTGTGTTCGTTGTCCATAACTTTTGCCTGCCCATACCATAACCCCACTGCTACCATGGGCCACTCGATCCACAACGTTGACATCAGCAAACCGCTCACCCACACGATGCCATACACGCTGTCTGCCATCTGCCCTGTACAGTGAAAACCGGGATTCATCAGTGAAGAGAACACCTCTCCAAAGCGCCAGACGCCATCGAATGTGAGTGTAACAAAGTTCGTAGTCACAGGAAGAAGGAGGCGGGAACCGGCGAACATTTAAAGACTTTAATAAAATAAACAAACACAAAATTAAAGTAAAGCGGCAGCCCCTCGCGGACGACTGCCACACACAAAACACAAAATAAAATCCAGGCCTGATCCTCTCTCCTCTTTCACTGTCTTATCTCCTCCTTTTATCCTTCCGGAGCTCCTCCATGGGACTCGAGACCGGTGAGTGGTGCAGGTGTCACTCATTATCAATTACTCCACCGGAGTAAATTGATATCTCGGCCCCGCCCCCACTTGTCATAGTGAGCATTTGCCAACTCAAGTCGATTACGACGACGAACTGCAGTCAGGTCGAGACCCCGATGAGGACGACGAGCATGCAGATGAGCTTCCCTGAGACGGTTTCTGACAGAAATTCTTTGGTTGTGCAAACCGATTGTTGCAGCAGCTGTCCGGGTGGCTGGTCTCAGACGATCTTGGAGGTGAAGATGCTGGATGTGGAGGTCCTGGGCTGGTGTGGTTACACGTGGTCTGCGGTTATGAGGCCGGTTGTATGTACTGCCAAATTCTCTGAAACGCCTTTGGAGACGGCTTATGGTAGAGAAATTAACATTCAATTCACGGGCAACAGCTCTGGTGGACATTCCTGCAGTCAGCATGCCAATTGCACGCTCCCTCAAAACTTGCGACATCTGTGGCATTGTGCTGTGTGATAAAACTGCACATTTTAGAGTGGCCTTTTATTATGGCCAGCCTATCACATCCAAAATAAAAGTTTTTGTGTGTGTTCTGTGTATATTTATTATGTATATATAAATACACACATATATTTTGAAAATATTTAAATGTATTTACATGTCTATATTTATATTCATATAATTTATATTTTAAATATATTTAATATATAAAAATAACATATATATATTTTAAATATATACATGCATGTGTGTGTATTTATATATACATAATAAATATAATCGATTAATCGTTTGACAGCACTAATAATGTATATAATAAAATATATGTACAGGTGCATCTCAGAAAATTTGAATATCGTGAAAATTTGATTTTTTTGTAACTTTCATATATGTGAAACATTCATATATTCTAGATTCATTACATGTAAAGTAAAACATTTCAAACGTTTTTTTTGTTTTCATTTTGATGATTGAACGTCAAAAATCCAGTATAATATAACAATATTAGAATATTTCCTAAGATCAATCAAAAAAAGTATTTTCAAAACAGAAAAGTTCAAGTTCTTTAAAGGGGTCATATGATGCTGCTAAAAAGAACATTATTTTGTGTTCGTCCTCTTTAAAAGCACACAGCGTCTTTACGACATTGCGGCAGAAACAACAATACTATAGCGAGAATAAAAGTTACACCTTCTTTCTTTGCGTGAACATTTTGGGTAGACATGTGACGTAGACATGTGGGGGCGTGTTAGAAGGAGACGTTTTAGGTAGGCGTGGCTGACTCTTAACTTTTATAAAGAATATCTCTTTGGATTTGAGACTTTAGTCTTTGCAACTTTACAAATCTTCTTTATGCACCAAGAGCTTGTAACACTCCAAAGAGAAAGGAAAAATTGAAATCGCATCATATGACCCCTTTAAAGTATGTTCATTTATGCACTCAAGGCTCCTTTAGCACAAATGACAGCATCAGTGACAGTATTCTCAAGCTTGCGGTCATCCCTGTTGCTTGTGCACATTTTCCTACCCAATTTCTTCCTTCCAGTCAACTTTGCATTTAATATGCTTTGATACAGCACTCTGTGAACAGCCACTCCTTTCAGTGACTTACCCTCTTTGTGGAGGGTGTCAATGATTGTCTTCTGGACCATTGTCAAGTCAGCAGTCTTTCCCATTATTGTGGTTTCAAAGAACAAGAGATGCCCAGAATTGATACTGTAGAGATGGTCATTTAATGAAACTCAAATATAAATATTCTAATATTTTGAGATACTGGATTGGACTTTGACTTTCATGAGCTGTAAGCTCTAATCATCAAAATTAAAAAAAAAATGGAGTGAAATGTTTTACTTTGCATGTAATGAATCTAGAATATATGAAAGTTCCCCTTTTTGAAATAAGTTACAAAAAAATTTTTTTCATATGCACCTGTATATATTTTCAAGTTCTTCTAGACTTCCTATTAACCACAGAATTCTAAAAAATGGTCATGGAAGAAAAATGGAAATCACTGTTTCCACAAAAATTATAAGCAGCACAAATGTTTGAACACTAATAAAAAGAAATTATTCTTGAGTATCAAACCAGCATATTAGAATGATTTCTGAAGGATCATGTGACACTGAAGACTGCCGTAATGATGCAGAAAATTCTGTTTGCCATCACAGGAATAAATGACATTTTAAAATATATTAAAATAGAAAATTGTCATTTTAATTGTAATAATATTTCACATTATTACTCTTGCTGTATATTTTTGCAGTCTTGGCAAACAAACATTAATAAAGCTTACTGACCTCAACCTTTTGAACAGTACTGTATGTATAATTTATATATAAATGTATATATAAATCAAACATGTGGCTACTCTTGTCACTGAAATACTTACATGTGGGAGAAGAAAAAGCAGAACACAAGACTGCAAGTGAAGCAGAATGGACAGTTTATTGTACCCAGTACAGATTATAAACTCAGCAGTGTAAGGTACACATTGTGAGGGGTTAAGCCTGTACAAGTGCAGACAACCCTTTTGTGGTGGATATTGAGACAAGCCCCTCATTCCATGAGAAAACGGTTATTTTAGAAGCTGCACCTCTCATTTAAAGGCACTGCTCTCGAACCCACCAGGAAAGGGTGTCCGGTAACCACTGATGTGTAGTCACTGCAACACAGGGATCCACTTAAAACATACATAGAGTATCTGTTACAGGCAGAACTATACACAGCTTATACAATAAAATCAAATAAATGCAGACTTTGCAAAAATATATGTTCATCTTTTCAAAAAAAAAAAAAAAAAAAAAAGGAAAAGAAAAAGAAAAGAGAGAATACAAATGCAGAGAACTCCACAATTTCTTCTTTGTCCAGCATAAAGCGATATGTTAGTGGACAGCTCATCATTGAATACGTCATGCAAAAGGAAGCAGTGGTCTTTCAACAGCTTGAGATTGCCCACGAGTAGCTGACCAGGAAAATGTATTATTTATTACCTTATTGCATGCAAGGCCCTGATACTCCTGCTTTCCTGGTGCATTAAAATATAGAATGATGCCAAAAATAATAATAATAATGTAAGAGTCTAAATGTTGTTTGACCTTCACTTACACTAAAGCATGGAGAAAGTCTGACTAGTGCATCCCTTTTGAATGTTGTCAAGTGAGAAAATTATATGTACTCTGTAATTCAAAATTTGGCATTTTGGGAAGTGAAAACTAAAATTAAATAGCGACAGGCATAAAGAAATACATTTAAAATGGGTTAACAGTCCTGTGAAGTTGACTAAATATACTAAGAGTGACTCTGGTTTAACTTCACATCAACAACCCCTGGGTTAACCAGCATGAAAACAAAAAGTTAATATAAAACCAACACATGACAAAGGACTCATACATATCATACAAAAGGAACATGTTCTGTATTCCTCAACATAATTAAAGCTGTCCACATTTAGTTAAACAAAAAGTGTTGTATAAAAGCCAGCTTTCTAACAAATGGGTAATTTTTTCTCCTTGTAAAATAAAGCCCTTTTGACTTCTTGTCTACATGGTTTGGAGGTAAAACAAAATTAGACCAAAAAGGCAACTATTAAATAGTGCTGCATTTAAGTTTTTTTCTTTTTTTCCCTGTGAGGATATCTCTTAATTCGTTACCAATTTTTCTTTTTTAAAAAAGCAGATTGTCAAAAACAGAATTGCTACAATTCTCGCAGTGAGATGTCAACCTCTCCAGCTCAACCTCTTCTTCTCTGTGGCAGTGACCGTTTGCCACGAGGAAGGTTTAAGCTTACCTCACCTCCTTGACACCTTTCTCTCGCCTGAGAAAAGGTGGCTTGCAGATTTCTCCTCGTTCTTTTTTAATGATTGGGAGGGTTAATCTGGACGTGGGCAACAGTTCAAAAGGAGTTGAGGCAATAGGGACAGATGTGTTTCAGTCATATCAACAGTTCAGGCTCAGTACACGTAACCGTCAGGGAAAGGCATCCCAGCAACACACTGCTCACCACCGTCCACCAAGTATGAAGCCCCCTCGTCATAGTGCGCCAAAGGAAGCGTGTCATCATCCACTCCTGGCAGGCCGTCAGGGTCTGCTTTAAGGTTGGGCCTCTGGTTGTCTGGGAAGGCCATTGAGAAGAGGGCCTCGGGATCACACACAAATTTGTACACGTACCTCTCGCCAGCAACCTGAAAAGAGAAAAGAGGCATTAGATTATCCCAAAAAATTAAAAAGTGGACAAATTACAGCAACTATTGTGATTATGAGCAGAGCATAGAGTAAAAGAAACCTGCCTTTACCTTCTGCATGATTCCCTTCTCATAATAGTAACGCAGTGAACGACTGAGTTTGTCGTAGTTCATGGCCGGTCTGTTCTTCTGGATGCCCCAACGCCGGGCCACCTGAAAACACAGATGACGATTGTCATTTCATTAGCGGTTTCAATTTAGTTGGCAACAAAACTTGGAACATAATGGTGTTCAAGAGAAGTACACTGTCACTTAGAGAAATTGGTTGTAGCCAACATGAAAGCAACTGTGGCCTTTAAAAAAAAAAAAAGTATTAAATTTACTTGCGATGTAGAGCACACAAACGGTCTGACAAAATGTTAAGAATTGGCAGATGCCTTTTGTCAGAGTGATAGTGCATCAGACAATAATATTGGCAAAGTATTCAGACATGACTTGCTTATCGAAAAAGTCATGTGATTACCTCAGCATCTACGAACTTCTGTAAATGTGTTTTAATTAAAGAAATGTGTAAATGTCTTCTTAAAGAGGTAATTCACAACTAGGTAAGAAGGGATTTCATTAAAACTTGGTTGTCTATGCAGTTGAACTGCGAAAATGTTTTTGAAATCAGTGCTACATGACAAGAGAACAGAAAAAAGGCTGGGGAGTTGTCTTTGGAAACTTCAACACCCATAAAGCACTGAGTTCATGCTGATTGTCTGTGGGTGGGAATATAAAAATGTGGAGGTAAGATTTGTAGCTAAACAATCCCTGAAGCTGTCAAATAAACCAGGAGATCTGTTTAGGAAAATATACTACCAACCATTACCTTTAATGAATAAAATCCACCTCAAGCATTTTTTGAATGTGCATTTTCTTTTTTTTAAAGACTTATTTTTGGCGTTTTTTGCCTTTTAATAGTTATAGGACAGTGTAGACAGAAAGCGAAGTGGGAGAGAGAGAGAGAGAGAGGTGGCAGGATCGGGAAAGTTCCTCAAGCCAGGATTCAAACACGGGATGCCCGTAGCACAACGGCGCTTCATGTCGGCGAACTGCCCACAAGGCTATCGGCACTGACTTAATGTGTATTTTAGAATTTTTATGTTTCCATTAACATTTTTTCTGTTATCCCAAAATGAACACAAAAATATATGAATAGAAACCCAGCTACTGAAAGCAAGAAGATACAGGGCTACTGTAAATGGTGTGTGTGCCTGATAGAAAGCGAAAAAACTTAATGTTGGCGCTCACCTCCTCTGGCTCAATAAGTTTGAACTCCATTCCACGTCCTGTCCAGGCAATGAAATGACCGTTGGCAGGATCATCCAGCAGTGTAACCAGAAACTGCCAAAGCTGGAGGGAGCCACGACGTTGGTAAGGTGGGCCGTCACGATACACAGAGGGCTCTTGCTTTACCTTCCCTGTCAGGAACAAGAATTACGACGATTAAAGTTTGCCTAGAGTAGCGTGAACAAGCAGGCGAGAAATTCCAACACAAATGTGGCTAATGTGGACACAGCCTTCATTTCGCACCACAGTACTAGCTCTCTCTTCAAAGAAAGGGGTGCCCTGATGAATCTCTACAATGCAGACTGAGCACTTGACAGCTACTGAAATGACCATTTGATCATTAACTTGTCTTTGATTTGAAACTATACATGACCTGTTGTGAACTCTTACCTTCAAGTCTCTCGGGAACCACACAGGTGTCGTCGAAATACAACTGCTGATCTCGGTCAAATGAGAAGTCTACAGGAAGAGGGAAGAAACAAAAGACACTGTGTGTTAGCTTAAGACAGGATACGATGCTTTTAGCATGCTGGAGCTGCAGTCATGTAGTATATGCTTTAATGGTTATGCCACTTACTCTCATGGTTTTGGTAGAAGCTTGCTGCTCTCCCAAATGAAGACTGACACTTAGGCACTTCTGCAAAACAACATACAATGGGATTATTAAAAAATTAGAAATTACCAATGATAAATGAGTCAGCAGTTAAATAATAAATACTACAATTAAAGATACAATAAAATGAACCTTTAGGAAAGTGTTTACTGTTTTCAAGGTTATTATAGTTGACAAACTATACAAAACATTTTTTGTTACTTGAAACAGATGTTAACGGAAATAAAATATATACAAATAAAACCTCAAACTTATTTTAATTCAAGTTCCAATGAAACATTTTTCATTTAGTTATACAACAAATATAAAAAAATAAATAAATAAATGTCAAAACACAAAATAAATACTGAAAACAGAAAGAAAAAAACTAATTAAAAACTATAACAGTACTCAGCGATTATAAAATAACACTGTCTGTTCCTTAATTCTAATGAAGACAGACATTTGGCATATAAACAGAGGTTTTATGGGAGCTCTAACAAGGCAAGATGAACAATAGTCATTCTGGCCCATTTGAAACACTGATGGAACATCTGGGCCGTGAATGTCCAGCTTCACACATCTGGTAGCACTGGCTAAGCTCATATCAACACACCAAAGAAACATGCGGCATTAGCAGTGAGCACTGAGTCACCAAATAGGATTAGCCAGCATGTCGAGATACTGGACCATGACAATCAAGTTTTATCTGTCCTTGTGTGTCCTGGTGATTCAGCAGGCCACTCCACCCCTTTCTTGTCTTACTTTGAGTATGTGATCCTCATTGATTGCATCAGATGCATCATCTGCCCCTGTGGCTGATACGTGATGTACACATTTATAAGAAGGATGGTAAGAGGATTTGGAATTACATCACTAACCTGCAAACATAAACCTAGAGGGATAGTATTAAACATGGAAGAGTGCATAAGGCTGAATGTATGGATCACAAACAGGAAGCATAGGGTTACCCTATGCTTAGACATGACAAGAACAAAATATCCTGATGTGGATTATGACCCAACTACCCTGAGATATGGTCTCTTAATGCAACCTTTTGAAACTTCTTACAATGTCTAGGACTAAATATTTTAGTATGTTAAATTGACAGCCCTGTTTATTAAGAATGCTGCACTTGAGGAATGTCTAGGTATGAGGAGCGCAGCCTTCTCAGAATGTCTCCTCCTTGCACGCAAAGGTTCAAGGTTTGCATGTGTGCATGCTTTTGTTCGTATACACCTCACTAAACAACGCTAAAAGTCACAGGCCCGTGCAAGCACACAAAATACAGTCACCCAGACAGCTCTCATGAAGCCCAGGCAGATCGTGAACACTTGAATACATTTCTAAGAAATGGGACAGTCCTCACCAGAATCAAAGCAGAAGTCTCGTGGCTCTTGCTTGACGGCCATCGGGTGGAAGGCAGCCTGGGATGGGCCCATGCTGGGAACACCTTGCTCAGCGTAGCGGGGGTCTAGGAGCTCCTGTTTGAATCCCTGAGGAGGCACAGGAACCAGGGGCTCGGACATTTGGCGATGGTAAGGTGGCCTTCCATCTCTTGGTGAAGTGTTGGGGACCTGTGGCATGAAGTTGGATCTTCCTTGGGTGTCAGAAGGTGGGAATGGCAGGCAAGGCTCTGAAAGCTGTCGCTGAAACCTGCAAGACAATAACAACATTCAAAAACCAGAAACAACTTTGGAGTAAATGACACAGTGCACTTTCAGTTAAATCCAAGCAGCTGCTTAGGATTCAAGGAAGTCATAAACAAACAGCATGTTAAAATATAGCTGTTTTGGTCATGTGACACAGGATAAATAAAGGAGCAGCTTAGCACTAGCACTTTAGAGTCTTCTGCTAGAGGCTGTAAATGATGTGCCACACATTCTCCGGCAAGCTCCCAGGAATTCAGCTACAGGTGGCAGGGCAGGATGCCAGCCAATCTATTCTCACGGGGGTCATGTTATTAGAGCCCCCCAGCAGTGATGTACACCACATTTTTTGCGCTTATAAAATGAGCATGGCTATAGGGTCAACTGCCATAATATATTATATCACTACCAAATGTTTTTTAAAGCAATTATTATTTTTTTAATTCAGCAAGAGTGCATTGAATTGATCAAAAATGACAGTTAAGACATTTATAAATGTTACAAAAGTTTTCTATTTAAAAAATGTTAATCTTTGGAATTTTTCCAATTAAAGAATTCTAAAAAAAACACATGACGGTTTCCACAAAACATTAAGAACTGATAATAATAATAATAAGAAGAAATGTTTCTTGAGCATCAAATCAGCATGTTAGAATGATTACTGAAGGATCATGTGACACTGAAGACTGGAGTAATGACTGCTGAAAATTCTGATTTTCTTTTACAATAAAATGTATTAAAACAGAAAACAGCAATTATAAATTGTATTTTTTATACAATATTACTGTTTTAATGTATTTCTGATCAGACAAACGAAAAACATGCCCTTTACACACCGTCTCCTAGCCTCAACATCAGACGAAAACAAAAACAAACTTCAGAGACAAAGGGGGGGGGGGTAACATAAAATGCTCTGCCGAGCGTTCCTCGAGTATTTCCTTTGGCTTTGATTCCTGTGGCCAGGCTCGAACAAATTGGGTGCGTTTGGACTGAGAACCCTCAATGAAAAGAGCTTCAGTAGCTGTGGATTTGGTGGGTTTAGGTAGGCCGTGAGAGGAAGCCTTTTCCTCTCCCCTTCCCGCTGGAATCCAGTCCATTCCAGAGGCTGAACGGAGAGCATGAAAGTGTGAAATCTGATTATGAGCTTGGATCATGTGATGCTGATACCAATCGGCTGATTTCACTGAAAAAATAGGTAGGTTGTGGGGGTTCTCACTGAGAGGATTCAGGCAAGAATGAAAAGCGGAAAGACCATTTAAGCCCTAATAAATCAAAGCACTATCGGGTTGAGTGTGTGGGGATGTTACACCACTGACCATGTGAAAGAGCAAATCAATTACTTTAAAAGTTTATGCATGCTAAAATATCTAATATGCACTATAATAAGAGCTTCATTTGAGAGTATAACTGCTGGCATCTTCAACAACTCAAATCAACACGATTGTCTGGCCACTCGACACCATCCTTAGTCTAAGATCCCCTTTGTTTCCCATGAAACTTTGGCTTTAAATTTTAGCAAGAGATGAATAATAAATAGCTCCAAGAGTTCAGCCTCTGCCGTTTTCCCTAGCCCTCTCTGGACTGCATCCAAAGTACGCTGCCAAGGAGAATAAATAATACATCTCAAGGTACTCACAGCTCTCCGACTGGAAATCTGGGACAAACTGTTCATCATCGGGCACCTGAGCTGTGGAGAGAGATTGGAGAGCATGAAAGATCCCTGCTGATAAACAATCCGCGGATCAATGTCAATTTGTCAGACGACATTTATTTTTGTATTTTTTGTTCATCGAAAAATTAACCACCATCTCAGTGCCAACTTTTTGGACACTGCTGCAAAGCTAGTGCAATGGACCAAATTAAATGGCCAGAGCGTCATGAAAAATAAACAGCAGCTGGGACAACGTGCATCACTTAGAAATTATATATTCCACATGCATATATTATAAGAAATACTCATGAGTCTGAAATATAAATGTCAGCTGCATGACAAAGCAAAAATGACATGCATGAAAATGTTACAAACCTTCTGCGATCCAGATCTCTTGCAGCTGGCTGAGGTCCTGGAAAAGTTCTACAGATGACAGGCAAAGACAAGACAGTCTAAGAGCATGAAAACCCACTATGATCCAAGTATTTGATAAATGAAAGGCAGCCTTCAACAATCACAGCATCGATCAAACTACTGCTCTCTCGCTGTTAATGCATCTCAATAATCAGATCCATCTGCTAAACATGCATTAGTCATGTTCATTAGGTTGAAATTACCCTCTGTGTCCTGAGCGAGTTCAGTCTCCACTAACTTTCTTTTTCTGTCGTTAACTGCTCGGCTATATGGTGCCTCCACTTGTAATGACTTTTGCTGTGGAAAAACACTTATGGTCAGTGTTGCCTAATTTAATGCTGAAAAACAAAACACCATTAGCTTTATGCATCTACAGAAAAGCAGAAATGTACTTACATTAGGTGGGACCATAAATGGTACTTGCTGGTCATAAAATCCGTCCATGCCACCTGGGTCTTCAAGAAAGCTCCCAGAAAAGGGTCTTCGTTTAAAAACGATTGTTATATTGATCTCTCTGGGTCTTCGGTTTTCTCTAGCGAAAAAAATAAATAAACAGATGAATCATGCAGTAGATCTACTGGACAGTCAAGTGTGTCCCATATCAAAACACCAAGCCCTGCATACAGGCAGACAAAACCCTCAGATCCTGTGTTTTCATCCTCCCCCTTCTCTCAACAACCCTCCTGACAGAGCATAAGACAGACAGCCAGAGAGAGAGAGCTGCGTAATGCAATCCACAGTAGAGATGAATGTAAACCTTACATAAGCAAAGCCAACCATCTGTGCTGCTGATTAGACTATGAAAGGAATCGTGAACATATTAAGATTAACGGAGGAAAATGGAAAGCATACATTTCGTGTTACACTACATTGATATTCTACTTGTATAACTAATCCATGAATAAACATTGAAAAATTGAATTGCTGGCCAAGCATCTATCCAAGCAACTTACTGGATCAACTGCACACTTGGAAGGGGTGACTGGACCATGTCAACTTTTCTTGTGATGCTTCTCAACAAAACAACAGCTCTTTACTTGATACTATAAATGCATTTTTTATGTTTATAGTGTAATTATTCTATATGATTTTATTATTGTTGTAGTTTTTTTAATGCATTTTTATTATTCTGATTCTTGTGATGCTGTTCCAATAAAACAAAAATTCCTTACTTAACTGTTAAATTAAATACAAACAATTGTAAAATGTTATTGTTACTCTTTATGAGATGTTTGTGTGTGTAGTACGTGTGCGTGTATAAAACACACACACACAACATATAAAATGTAACAATTGTATTTTTATTATTTATTTAACTGACATGTATACATACAATGAAATTACATCTTATAGATGAGAAACTATGGAAGTCTAGCTAACATGTAAAATAAATATTAACGAATTAAAAAACGCAAACAACTATCTGCTAAAGTTACCAGGAGAGATGCCTGAGAGCTAATAAACGAAGGGAAACTTCAGCGGCTAAGCGTTCAGGTACGTTACAGTCATGGAGCGAACGAGCTCGCTCTTTTTTCAAGCTTACCATACTTAAAACCACAGCTTTGTTACTGCAAAAATGCATGGAAAAAAAGAAAAATAAGTCAGAGGTATTAATTCAAACACAAAATAATATCACCAGTAACACAAGTCAGCAGCTAACAATTATTTTAAAACTCTATCATCTTTTTTTTCATTCAGAATAAAGAGACTTTTCCAAATACATCACACATTTTGTGTATTACTATGCGGAAACAAAGACGAATAAACCTAGCCTTAAATGAAGTGCTGAAAGTAAATATAGGATTGAGCAGGGGTGAGGACCTCCTCCCACTCGGAGCCCCCTGACGGCCTCTTGTTTTTCTCAATGAAGTGAAACTCGATCCGTGAGGGGGAAAAAGAGAGACCTCCATTCACAAAACCATACACTGTTCAGGCTGCACCGACCTCACCTTTAAATGTCACTAATGCTGAGCGCACAAGCTTCTGTAAAGACTGCAACGGAGCAAAATATGACAGGAAAAACTTCATACATTAAAATGGTTGCCAAACAGTATAAACCCTCTCTTGGAGAAAATGGCGTTCGCTTTCCCCCAAGGCGAGATAGCTGTTTTTGCAGTTGCAACAAGCCCACGATAAACTTACGCGCTGCGCAAAACAACCGCTTTCAAAACAGATATTTCAGTGAACGCCGTATAAATATTTGAGGAATGAGTGTTAAACTCACCGTATAGATGACGCGCCTATAACAGTGGACTGAAAAACACGTTTCAAATTTTAATCCCAAAAGGATGCCGTGCGCTCGTGCTGATCGATAGATGAGCTCTCTCTCCGACAATCAAAACTTGAATGAGGTTTTGTAAATGGACTGCTCGGTTTTCCCTTGGGCTCGAGACGCATTTGAATCTGGAAGCCTATTGGCTCCGAGCGCACGTCGTTCACATCTCTAAACCAATGATTTGCGAGCATGACTCGGAATATGTATGAAGCGCTCAACGACCAATCGAAGCCTTGTTTGTCTTATTTTTATGAATGGCTGAGTTTCATTCACTTTCAAGATTTCCCCCCGCACTTTTCCAGGGGCTCTTAAAGGGCCAGAGAGCCAGAAGTAGAGTCGCCAGCAAAACACATCAGAAGTTGGAGGACAGTTCACTAAAATCAATTTAATTAGCATATATTTAGACTTGGCTAAAACAAAGCTGAGTTGCACACAACGAAATAAGGTAAACGGATAAACCAATCAATGGTTATTGCATGTCTCAACAAACTTTCCAAACAGCTCATAATGTGAGAATAATAAACACTGAATATTCAACCAGAAAGGGAGGATAAGTTTGCAATGGATTCCCTGTGGGATTTCCTACAGGATTTTAGAATAGTGCTTTTCAGTTTATGAGTAGAAAAAAATGTCTGTGGTTAACATAACTTGAAGAGACTTTAAGGTTTTGTTCTGCAAAATAAACTCAGAAAAGTTAGTCAAAATCTCAATTAAAAAAATGCAAAACAGGCAATTCAAGTCAATAAAAAAATAAATAAAAATAATATAACATATTGATGATAAGTTTATTATTATTGTTGTTCATAATTATTATTATTAAAGTTTTTATTATTATTCTAATTTAAGTTGTTGAATAAAACATTATGTTAAACATGCCCAAACATACATTTTACTCATAATAAAAGGTATATAATTAATATAACTATTAATTGATGCAATAATATTATTTTTATCTGCTACACAATGAACTGCACAATCTTGTGATGTGCAAGGGATTTACAATGTATTATTGTGGTCAAGGCCAGATGTCCTAGAATCTATATTTAACAAAGCTGTTTCTGTGAAAAAGAGAGGGAGAGAAATTCTGCAGCAAGTGTGAGGAGGATAATCTTCAAAATCCTTCTGGCTTTCGAGCAGAGCCCACTTTCACAGGAGCACAATGATAGCATGAACAAGATGTGCAGTATGCCGTTACTGGTGTCATTGTTTCTCCTGCTTGACGCTGCTAAAGCTGGGCTTTTCAGCTCTGCCATGCTGTCAGGGTCTCCTTTTTATAGCACCTTTCACTAATGTGGTGGGAGGTGGGAAGGGGGTGACCAAGAGCACATTCTATTTCCATTATTCTGCTCCTTAAATTCAAAGTGGTGTTGACACAGGCATCAGCAGCACCCGTCTCTTTGATATCTTTCATTTTTTGGGACAAATATTGAAATGATCCGCTATCACTCACTCTGATAATGAGAAGGGCTTATTTGTGCCCATGACTGGGTCAGTGTGACAGTTCTGGCAGCCTGCCCTTCTCTGGAAATGCGGGCTAATCCGTGAAAGGAGATGTACCGCACATTACAATAGAGTTAAATGAGGGGTGACGGACAGAGCAGCAAATCAGATTCCTATGTAACACACAGAAAAATCTAAACTTTTAAACCTTGTTATTGTACGTAACATATGTACTATGACTGAATACACCCAGAAAACTGTGTAAAATCAGCTTGGTACAGACAGTTAATGAAGTGGAATGAAAGTTAACGCAGCCTCGGGCCACTGGTGCTCTCCCAAAGAGAGACATGATGGGACTTGATGACTATTAATAGTTCATGGAGAGATAATTCCTGCTTCATTATCTCTGCACACCCAAGACACGTAGGCTTCGCCGCAGCTCACAGCTTCTTGTTGTGTCATCTGCATTTTTCTTCTAACAGGGCTGTATTCACAAGCGCAGAGGCCACAGGGCTGCCTGATGAAAACAAACAGTCATACAGCCTCACATGGCAACCATCTGATACTGTAAATGACACTGCAAGTATAGTGATATTACACCTGAATTATCATATACATATAAGATGCCCTCTTAATATTTGTTTGAGTGTTACACTGTGTGATACACTGCTAGTGAAGGGAGTATTTAAAGGAATATTCTGGGTTCAGTAAAAGTTGAGTTCAAATGGCAGCATTTGTGGCATGATTTTAATCACCAACAAAAAACAAAAAAAAGGATATTCCCCTCGATTTCTTTAAAAAAGGCAAAATCAGTGAAGCACTTACAATGGAAGCAAATAGAGCCATTTTTGAGGATTTATGCAGGAATGTGAAGTTAATTTTTATAAAAGCACATATTAATTCTTAGATATTTTAAGGTTAATGTTTTCATACTAAAATCGTGTTAAGCTTGCTGTGAAAACCCCCTTTTGGAACCTTTATTTTTTTAAGAGCATGGCATAATGTTGAGCTTAACTTGTAGTGAACCTGGATCATTTTTTAAAATGTATTTCATGAATTCTACAGGATGTAATATTTGGTTACACCACAATATTTATTTATTATTTTTCTTCTTCAAAAAAAAAAAACTTCTAAAAACTAACACTAGCTTCTCTATTCTTTTTTTATTCTATCTATTTATTTTCTTTTTTGTTTATTATACAATTAACAAAAGCAAAAAATGCCTCTAACACTACCTTGCTCTATTCTTTTTCTATTCTGATTTCTTTTTATTTATTATATAATTGAAAAACCCTTGCTACGTGTACTATGTTAAGCTGAGGCTTGTTATAGCACTTGTGTATCATTGCTCTTTTGTTGATTTTGATTGCTTCCATTGTCCTCATTTGTAAATCGCTTTGGATAAATGCGTCTTCTAAATGACTAAATGTAAATGTAATAACAGCTCGTAACTGGGGCAATATCTTCCAAAAGCGCACCTTTGTACCAAAAATCTAAACTTAGGTTGTATATTTGTACCCTTTGAGCATACTCCCCCAATTTTACCCCTAAAGGTAAAATTTTCTGAGAGTCTAGAGGAGCTCACAAAATCTAGTCAGTACTCATTACAGATTCTCACTTCAGTGTGCAGGGTCAGCATAATGTACAGTATGAAGAATAACACACCCATTAATTTGGAAAGATTGAATTAGAAAATCTGCCAATGTCTTGCAGTTGCATCATGGTATGATTGAAACTCAAGTGTGCAAGTCTACACAGGTGCAATCATGACAGAAGGTGTTGTCTGAGAGATGGAAGCAAGTGTTAAAGTGCGCTGACATAAGGACTGAACTGTGTGGATCTTAAGTACCTTGCTAAAAGCTCACAGTATTTTCCCAGAGTGCCTCATATCATCAGCACAGGAGCACCGAAATCTGTGATTTATTGTGTGAACTGAAATTCAATCACGTTAAGTAGAGGATTGTGTCGGGCGCCTTTGCTGGATAACAAAAAACAAAAAAAAGGATATTCCCCTCGATTTCTTTAAAAAAGGCAAAATCAGTGAAGCACTTACAATGGAAGCAAATAGAGCCATTTTTGAGGATTTATGCAGGAATGTGAAGTTAATTTTTATAAAAGCACATATTAATTCTTAGATATTTTAAGGTTAATGTTTTCATACTAAAATCGTGTTAAGCTTGCTGTGAAAACCCCCTTTTGGAACCTTTATTTTTTTAAGAGCATGGCATAATGTTGAGCTTAACTTGTAGTGAACCTGGATCATTTTTTAAAATGTATTTCATGAATTCTACAGGATGTAATATTTGGTTACACCACAATATTTATTATTTTTCTTCTAAAAAAAAAAAACTTCTAAAAACTAACACTAGCTTCTCTATTCTTTTTTTATTCTATCTATTTATTTTCTTTTTTGTTTATTATACAATTAACAAAAGCAAAAAATGCCTCTAACACTACCTTGCTCTATTCTTTTTCTATTCTGATTTCTTTTTATTTATTATATAATTGAAAAACCCTTGCTACGTGTACTATGTTAAGCTGAGGCTTGTTATAGCACTTGTGTATCATTGCTCTTTTGTTGATTTTGATTGCTTCCATTGTCCTCATTTGTAAATCGCTTTGGATAAATGCGTCTTCTAAATGACTAAATGTAAATGTAATAACAGCTCGTAACTGGGGCAATATCTTCCAAAAGCGCACCTTTGTACCAAAAATCTAAACTTAGGTTGTATATTTGTACCCTTTGAGCATACTCCCCCAATTTTACCCCTAAAGGTAAAATTTTCTGAGAGTCTAGAGGAGCTCACAAAATCTAGTCAGTACTCATTACAGATTCTCACTTCAGTGTGCAGGGTCAGCATAATGTACAGTATGAAGAATAACACACCCATTAATTTGGAAAGATTGAATTAGAAAATCTGCCAATGTCTTGCAGTTGCATCATGGTATGATTGAAACTCAAGTGTGCAAGTCTACACAGGTGCAATCATGACAGAAGGTGTTGTCTGAGAGATGGAAGCAAGTGTTAAAGTGCGCTGACATAAGGACTGAACTGTGTGGATCTTAAGTACCTTGCTAAAAGCTCACAGTATTTTCCCAGAGTGCCTCATATCATCAGCACAGGAGCACCGAAATCTGTGATTTATTGTGTGAACTGAAATTCAATCACGTTAAGTAGAGGATTGTGTCGGGCGCCTTTGCTGGATGCGAGTAAGCATCCCGGCCGAGCCACCCAATGACCCACACCAGACGCAGAGCTTCAGTCTCTCCGTTTATTCAATAAAACTCTTTTGTCCATTAACATGGATGCCAACAGCTTACAAGAACCAGAGTAACAGAGTCTAAGTGGGTCTTTCGAGGGCACGATTCACCCTTTAACCCCATCTCAGTCTTCAGGACTCCTGTCCTTGAACCTTGTTGCCTACCACACAGATGGACTGCTACAAACCACACTAACCCTAAAGGCAGGAATAAGACAGTGAGTTAAGCACACATGTAGAACATCACATTCAGGGTTGACATGGGCTCTACTGCATCAGTGGCGCTCAATACCGCTCATCTGTCCCAGCTAAGAATAGAGCTACACTGAGATAAGCCGTATTGTCACTTCATATTTAAGTTCAGGATTCTGGTTCACCATCC